TAAGCTGTCAAGTTCTTGCATAATATCTTAGGGTGCATGTACTTAACTCTACATGGCAATGACGGCATTTTGAGGATTCTTTTGCCTTTTAGACCAATTTTACAAAGTCAATATTAATTTACCTTTGACTATAAATATTATAATGTGCCACAATTTTTGAGCTTGTGTATTTCATAGTAATTTTGACAGGCCTTTAATGATGTTAACCACTTGTAATAACTATGTCTCCATGATTACATGTATGTTTAATGTTGAGCCCCCCCCAACTTTTGAATCATTCCTACGCCTATGGACTGGTATTATAATAATCCTTGTAGCTGTTTATGCATCTTGTAATAGTATACTATAGATGAGTAATATGCAATCTTGACATGTACGTGTGTTATTAATAAGTACTTAAGGGTGGACAATATTGAATGTTGTTTTATCAGCATGATATCTCATTTTGACATCACAATAATTACTAATAATTCTGTTCATCAAGTTAGGCTGTTACAATGATAATGATCCTTTGTAATGGTTTCTAGCCTAGAAATCCAACACAGTACATGTAATTTAGTCTGGTTTAGTAGAGGTACCACTTACATCGCAAGTTGTACTAACGGTTATGATACATAATTACATGTACCATTCACATGTACACTAAGAATTGATTATATTCTGTTAGCTGCAATAATACTAATGACTATCATGATAGCTACTAAATACTGATGTAATTATTAATACTGCAATTCTGTATTCTCGTTGTTGTATTCCTGGACTACTATTCTTGTATATCTTTGTCTCGTATTGATATTTCTTCCTCTCTTTTGCCTTTCTCTCCTCCTTGTACATGTACATGTACATCTAAATTTTGCTCTTTCTCTTTTCTTCCTATATAGGATTCTCCTGTCTCTCATGTTCTTTGTCTTTTTGTGTTAACACAAGCTTATAGTATCAGTAAGGAACTGTATTATACGTTATGTACGTCAATGTCATGTTTTTTATTTATTATTTTTTATTATAGTATTGTAACAGTTTTGGGTCACAGATGCATTGCTTGTCAAGATTCAAAATCCCATGAAATCCACCTGCTCTTTATTTTTGGCAAAAGATGTGGGAACAGAACAATCCTAACAACATGATGGTAAGACACAATTCACATTACAGTGCATGTACACATGTACAGTAAATGAGGGATAGTGAGTGTCCTTTGGTCAGTAATAATTGATGTGTCATTTATTGTACAGGAGAATAGAATTAAGACAAAATGCTAAGAGAATTC